CCTCGTCACACTGGGATTCCATCAGAACTTGGAATTTTTCAATTGCTGGGCACATCTATTGCCCCCCAAAGCTGAAAACATGTGTAATCGGGTTCCAACACCTAGCCGCGGCATGAAGGAACAAAAGACACAGTGGGGTACGACTTAGCGGGAATAGTGCATTTATCCCGAAATCCTGAAAATTCACTTTTCCCAAGCCATCTAAAGTTACAATCCAAATTAAGAGTTTTTCGGTGAAGAATCGCTCCATTTGTAGCAAAAACAGAGCTGGAATGAAGAAACAAAAAAGTCCCAACTTTTGTAGAAGATAAGGCACTGAGTGGAAGACAGGTGGCACCAATATGGAGGCTCTTTGCACTGATGGCCGACAGGCCAGTGTTGGTAGCCGACTGGCCACCTTTTGTAACTGACCGGCCACCATTGGTGGCCGACAGCCTCTGTTCATGGTCGATGGCCTCCTGTTTGGTCCTTTCATCAATTTCTATGTGTTGAGAGTGCTAAGAACTTGTGTCTTGTTTTGCTCTTGGTGCATTCGGCTGTCTTGTTTTAATAAGTTTTGTTGAGTCACTTTTATGTTGTTTCAATTTCTTTATCGAGTTGTTTCAATTTGCTTATTGAGTCATTGTTTTGTTTATCAAGTTGATATTGTTAGTTGTTTATCAAGTTGTTTCACTCTGTTTGTTGAGTGTTGGTCGGCTCATTACCTGAGGAAGCAAATGCCAATACAATGTGCAGTATTCAATTTCCATCAATTTTGTTTTTATGCAATGTGGTGCAATGCGATGCTCCGGATGCAAAAACAACACTTTTTCATCAAAAAGTTGTTTTTATTCTGATCGTGGTTTCTTTTTACAAAAGAGTACAAGTTTTAAAGAAAATAAAACTGTCTAAGTTGTACAAAGTACTAACACTACTAGCAAAAAACAAACTAAGCAAAACATATGAATCAACGCTAGCTATCTCAGTCTCGAGTGGCCCTCTTCGTTCTCTTCCTGGGCATGAACTCAAAGTTGTCTCCATCAACACGGCTGTCTATACCTCTCTCTGAACTAGAGTCATCACCGCTCTCTGCCTCAGAGGCTGATGTAGCATCATCACCACTACCAGAACGTGAGCCAGCATTAGCGTCTCCGCTCTCGGATGACTCGGTGTGCTGACCCACAGCCTCTTTGATCTCACTGGTCTCATCGTCGTCATCAATCATGGTAGGCTCCGAAGGGCTCCTCTGATATTGACCGCGACGTCTCCCTCGACCGCGCACCGGAGCCTCTATCTCTCTCTCTTCCTGCTGCTAGAGGGGGTACTGATGGTCTTACTGTTGCTGCCGCTGCTGCTGTTGGTAACGGTGGGACATAAAAAGGCAGTTGGTATATGTCAACCACAGTATGGGATATAAATATGGAGTGCAGAATGAGTACATGCAGAAGTCAAGTATAAAGTATGAATACAATATGAAATGCAGTGTTTTAGATGTAGTGTTTCGGATGCAGTGTATTAGTGCAGTGTGGGGAAGTGTTCAGTTGAAGTGTCTGTTTTAGTATGTCAGCCAACCGAAATGTGACGACCGAAATGCAAGAAAACTAAAAATTTACCTGAATATCGTGCAAGCCGAGCAGTGCCTCCCTTTAAGATCATGCCCTCGAATGTGGCCAACATCTCGAGTAATCCCTCGACATACCCTGTGGGTGCCTGTAAATGCAATTTGGAATGACCAATTTCTGGAATGAATGTCTGAGTCTCTGAGCAAGAATGGAAAAAATGAGAACTATAGGGCATATCGGTGGTGAATCAGGCGCTCTAACATATCTGTGACCAGCCATCAGAGGCTCAATCAGAATTTTGTAAGCCTCTCCGATGTACCGCCAACCCCTCAACTCGGTAGGAAGCTCTGGCCAACCGAAACAGTGCCTAGCGGGGGTACCCCTCTGGCCCTGCCCCTCAGCGCTAGAGCTCTGCTTGTCAAAGGGGCATCTGCTGCTCTCCCTGTACAAGCCTGAATACCCGGCAAAGGAGGCATGAGATGCGTCTAGATGTATGTCGTATAGTCCCCCTCTCCAACAAAGTAGTCAGCCTCCACACCTCGTGTAAAGTCAATCACTTCCTGGGAGGAAAGACTCTCTGTAGACCCCATGGATGGCGGAGGTGGCATGGGAACTGCCTACATTGGCAAACCTAAGGTCTAGCTCAAGAAGCGCTCGCCTAAGAACCAGGTTTGGCCTATTGGTCCCTTGAGCACGAGCCGGTAACGGGAAGCACCCCAAGCACCAGCAAACAGATATCTCACACGCTCTTGCATCGTCGCCTAGGGCGGCCATGAGATCTGCAAACAACAAATGCATAGATTGTTAGTTTCCATCAGATATGCTATATGAATGAGAGCTGGAGTAACGTAGAAAGAACTGTGAGTTTTGAGTTACCTTTGCTGCGGTCACTGTGTCAAAATACCGGCGAAAGAATGAGAAAGTCTTTTGGGTCCTCCGCTGACATCTCCCGTCATATCAATGAGAGTATGGCACGACAAGAGGCATCCCCACCTCCAGCTCTCGACCAAGTGTCGGAAAATAGGCATACATCCATAGCTGCAAAAAGTAAAAGGGCGACAATAAGTATACAACAGATAAACACAGGTGATCTGAAAAGTAGAATATGTGTGTAAATGCGCAGAGAATGCAGAATACATGGGAAATGCAGAAAGCCGAATGTATAGTACAATGTACAAAGAATACAAATGCAGAGCAGAAATCGGACTATGTGTGTGCAGTGTACTGAAAGTGCAAAGTAGAAAGCATGGTAGGGAATGTAAACTAGAAAAGTAAAGCATGCCTCCTAGGCTCTCTAGTAGCCGCCGACTCTGTTCCCGCTCTTGCGGGATGTCGAGCTCATGTAGCAGTACAAGGTAGCGAGGCCAGTGCTGCCCCAGTCGTAATGCCAGACCTAAGACAAGTCCACCAAGGCACTCAAGAGATATGGCCCGACAGTGTTCACCCTGTCGGCAAACAAGGTGGTGCCAAAGAGGAACATTAGGAAACCTCGAGCGTACTGCTCGATCTCCTCTAGGGTCTCTGGCTGTGTCCCTCTGAAATGATCTGCAAACCAACTATACCACATTGTCCCTGATCGAAAGAGAGGTAGGCGTGCCCCCAACAGGTAGATCCTGGCAGCCTCCCACTCGTCCATGTCTGTATCATATGGGATCGGCTGACCTTTTACCTCGATGCCGGTGAGCATAGTAAAGTCATACGGAGTCATCATCACGTCTCCCGTGGTAGAGAAATGGAAAGAGTTGGTGGTGTCCCACCATCTCTCTAACAACGCACCAAGTGTGGACCTGCTCGCTATGAGACGCGATAGTCCCATGTAGAATAAGCTGAATCCGGCCTCATCGACAATCTGGCAGACGCCAACGCGGAGGTCCATATACCACTCTCTCGTAGATGTGGTCCCATATCCTCGGATAGAAAGGTAGTCCCCGTGTAATCAGAAAGCAGTGTAAGAAACACAGTGCATGAATGTGTTTCAGAATAAGAAGATGAAAGGCAGTGTAACAAGTACAGCGTAAGTGTGATCTGTGCATGAAATGTAAGGTACATTGTGAAAAATGTAAGAAAACGGTGTATACCTCTTTGGCACCATAGGACAAGTGAGACTCTAGCTCTCGCAATAGGCGTTCTGCTGGCACGCCTCGTGCAAATCCTCTAAAATGACAAATTGTATCGGGCGGTGGCACGTGCACCTCGGGGTAGTATCTCTCTGGGTGAAAGGGTTAAACCCTGGGTGGTAATGGTATGTGCTCGGGATCACTTGCCATTCTTGGTGAACCTCCGTCATGGGGAATGTCATCTGCCATCCGGAAAGAACGTGAGAAAGTGGGCGAAAATGAGCAAAATGGGTGGAAAATGCGAAAAGTCAACAAAAGTCAACCCTCGAGGAGAGAAAATGGCAAAAAAAGTCAAAGCCTAGGAAAAGGCATAGAACCCAAGAGAAGCTCGAGGGAAACAAACCTCAAGTGGTGAAAATGATGGAAAAAACACCGAAAACAAATTCCAATCGGTTCAAAACGAAGGAAATCAAAAGGTTTTAGCAAATCAACTTCGCTTGGGGCGTTGGAAAACGTGTATAAAGCACGGATCTAGAGGGGGAAAATGTCTAGAGAGGAAGATGAAGGATTTTCAGCTATGGAGGTGTGAGGAAATGAAGTTTGGGATTGAGTACTTAAAGGCCCGAGGACAAAAGACCAAAATGACCCCAAATTGCCATTGGTGGCCGACCGACCACCATTTGTGGCTGACAACATCCATTTGTGACCGACATGTGGCCAACACCCCTCCAGGGTGGCCGACAGGCCTCCAGTGCTCTCCCTGTGTGTTTTGTTGCTATTTTACGTCATTGGTTCTCGAGAAAGTGCAAGAAAGGTTCACTTGTAAGTTCAAAGTGTCTCTACGGAAGCTCCGAACCATGTCTTCGGTGCATGGCTCCTCACTAGTCAACATGAACGAGGTGTATTTTTTAAAAAAATATATTGCAACTCTTCTGAGAGGTAAATCAGAAGTTGTGACTGAGTTGTTTTTATCAAACACGCTTTTGTTATTGCATAGAACATGCATTTCTTTGTCGTTTCATGGGACGTGCCTTTCACATAAGGTCTTGTATAGAATCTGCACTCCTCGTATTTGCATAGAACAAAAAGTTCTTGGAATAACCACTAACTTTTAGCGACAAAAACAATATGTTGTCGCCAAATATATTAACAGCGACCAAAATACCACCTGTCACTAAAAATTCAGTACACAAATTTTGATTTTAATAATTTTCCTGTTCAAAATAATCCAAAACACCTGTTTTCCTGTGCACAATATATACGCAAATGTAATGTAAATAATAATACACTTGTGCAAGACATTCATACTAATTCAAAATTAATAGCTATGAAAAATCCCAATAAACATACTTACAATTCTTTGACAATCTAAAACATGCATACCAAAATACTTACAAACTACTAACATTAAATCCATAAATACATTACCAAATCCTATGTCAAAACATTTTCAAAATTACAACCAAATATTTTGATGTTAAACATCTAACCAACAAGTCATTTACTAAAATCCTATGTCAAAATATTTGCAAAAACACAACACTAAATATTTTGATGCTAAACATTTAATCCATAAATCATTTACCAAAATCCTATGTCAAAATATTTTCAAAAACACAAAATCAAATCTTCCGATGCAGCCCAAACTATTTTCCACCATTGCCAATCTGTCAGATGAAAAAAGAAAAAACAATATTAGATTGACAAAAAAAAAAAAAAACCTCAATATGAACTTCACAATTTTTATTTTAATTTTGTAACGGGAAGTCCAATTGGGTGTTGTTTGCTCATACAACTCTATTTAGGCTTGAAAAAGTTACCCGTACCAAGTTTCAGTGGTTTCAGTGGTCATTTTGCAATTTTAGCCCCCGAACGGGCCTTTTAAATCTTGTGTTTTACATTTTTTCTTCTAATTTTTTAATCGGAAATTCAATCGAGATCTCATTTGTTCCTACAAGTCTATTTAGGTTTGAACAAGCTGTTCGTGCCAATTTTTGGTGGTTTCGGTTGTCATTTCGCAATTTCGGCTCCTGAACGAGCCTTTTAAGTCTTGTGTTTTACAATTTTCCTTCTAATTTTCTAACCGGAGATCCAATTGAAGTCCCGTTTGTTCCTACAAGTCTATTTAGGCTTGAACAAGATGTCTGATTATTTAGCATTTGGTGGCCATTAGAAAACATTTTCTGTTCAAATAAGTTTTTTTCCATTGACCATGAGAATTGTTTTCCATTGACTTCCATTTGTCGTAATACCAAACTCCAAAAAATGTAGAAAACGTATTCTGCTGCAACAAACTAAGCATAAATAAATGAAAAGGTCCAACCAAAGTGGCCTGTGTCTTATTATTTACACTCTTGCAGCATGGTTTTTTTTTGTTTTTTTTTTTATAAATAAACACTCTTGCAGCATGATTGATCATTTGCAATGACAAAAATGTCATGCTGCACGGAGAAGGCAGCCAATTAAGAAGGGTTGCATTCTCCAGTTACTCATCCTAGTGTATTAATTCAACAAAAAAATTTAGAGAAAGAAAAAGATCTAAGTTTTGGAAGAGCAATGAAAAATTTGAATACACACCAGATCATAGATATACACAAAGCAATCACTAGATCCGGTGTAGATGTACTTTTGACCAGTGCTGCAAAAAAAGGAAAAAGGCATTACAAGATTAGAAACTTCAATCCATTTGGAAACACTTTCGGATAATATGGTACACCATTCAGTACCCTGTCAAAATAAAACCCAATTACATTGGATAAAACCAATGTTCTAAAATTATAGGCCAAAAATTGACATCCAATAGGTTGCGGCTTCTTTCCAGTTTGACAAGCATTGCAGTCCAACTAGAATGAATCCAAAAAAAAAAAAGGGCAAAACAAAATAAAATAAAATAAATTTCATACCCTAATTGGATAACATTAAAGGCAATTTCACGGGCCAAATCATTCAAAATCGTTCAACCAGAATCCACTATGGATGTTTGCAGACAAATAACCTGCAAGATATAAACCAGTATTTGGTGTATTAGACTGAGTCTGACTAAACCAGTGTGAGTCGTAAAAGCTAAAAGATTCAGGGGCATATATTTGTGACGAGCAACCATCATCAGTTGGTGAACTAGATTTGAGTTCAAAATTTTCATAGAAGCAATAACAATCATTTTGACATTCTATAGAGTATAAGACTGAAATGAAATAAAATTGTCTCTACAAGAAGATAGTATCAGTGAATTACCTATATGCTGGGGAGAAGTAACAGCGTATGAGAGTGCGCAAGACTGAATGACCTTTATATGTAGCCAATGACAGATCATTAGGATGTTTCAATTTTTTTGCCTGAGATGGGTACTCCACCCATCTATAATCCCACTCATAATCCCTAAAGCTTTTGCTGGTGCTGCATCAATGAAATTTTCAAGTCAGCAAAGCAATCATTTTACTATACTACATATAAATCCCCTTCCCCAGCTTCGGCGGAGACCATAGTTTGACACATCCCAACCACACTCAAGTTGCCACACCCTAGATTGAACATTAAGCAAAGGAAGCCTGTTGAAACCCAAGTTTTGGAGTAAGCAGAGTATGTAAGATGTATCATTCCTAAGAATTCCTCTAGGTCAATGCCCAGGGAAGAACTAGAGCCAAAAAGCAAGAGATCCCAATGGCACAAGTCAAGTAAGCATATACATATTTGAACGATTTAGCATATGACTGACCAGCAGCGAATATGAATGATATCTAACATGAGATCCCACCTAAAGAACATGGATTATAAATATTAAACATTATGCAGACATTTTTTCATATAGTGATCCTTAAGTAAAATTTAAAATTTGTCTTTGAGCATCATACAAGTTAGTGCCAGAATTCATGCCAACAACCTTAAGTTCACATTTTCAAAGTTGCTATTTTATTTTTCTAAATTTTCTCTCTAACTGGGCATGTTTTGGATAACTTAAAGAATTGAAAGTTAACAATAGGACATTAGGTTCCTCCACTTCTCCTCCATTACTGTATTATATAAATTTCTATTACTCATCAGAGAATCAAATCAGTTCAATCACTAGAGTACAGTTGAGAATTAGTAAACACGAATGCAAAACAAAAGCAACAAAAGAAGCGTACCAAGTGACGTTAGAAGACATTTTCCGAATATCCCAAAGTTTGATTGCCTGATCCTTTCCATTCGAGATAAAATAACGGCCATCTCCACGACTGTCAATAAAAGTAATGCCTTCTATATGTCCCGTCAGGACCCCAGCTGCTTGCCCTTTTGCAACGAAACAACGCCTGTCCCACACCAAACAATTTTATTTCAAGATTCCTAGTAAAATAAATGGAAGGCATGATTAAAAGAAAAACAACAATAGCTTGTGAGCCAGCAGCACCACAGATTAATTATCCTGCCACTGCAATAAATCACCCCCCTTTTCATTGCATCTAAACATTCTTAAAAATCCCAGAGGTCCTGACAAGTGATTTCTATGAGAATGCATTTCAAAAGCATTTCTTGACCATATTAGGGAGTATAACACCGAGTCAATGGCCCACAATTTCTATTCATCTGATATATGACAAATGGTAAAATTAAAATCAATTTCACACCACAGCACTGTAGGAAATATAAACCCTGGGTTCTATTGTTCTCCAAGCTAGGCATCTGCAAACTATAAAGATGAAACAACACCAAGGATCAAACTTGAAACAAACCCCTAAAAAATATCATCTCCTAGATTTACACACCACCATTCTTGTAGAATGGTTTATGGTATTGCGTCTGAAACTCTATATTTATATATCATGGTTGTATCTTATCATGAGTTGGAGGATACATTCTAATTTTAAAAAATAAATTAAAATTTTGAAAGCAATAAGCAAAAATCTAACAAATAAAAAAACGCACAAGAAGTAATCCTCACTAAAATACAGTGCTAAATGTCCATATCACAAAACCATCAAGGTAGCCCGGCGGTTAAAGGTTGTCATTGGGACCCATTGTTAGTCAAGAGCTCTTATGTTAAACTCCCGCTGGCCACACCTGTGGCTTGTGGGTGGTCGCAATGATTTGGGGTTTTGGTTCTAGGAGGTCCTGGATCAAGTCTTGTTAGCACTCATGTTATCTTTGTCATTGTGCATGTTCTCTCCAGGTTTGAGACGAGATTGCATGTGAAGGAGAATGTTAGCTTGATATAAATTATTGGGCCATTTCCTAAAACTTAAGCTTTCCGAACAATTGATGATCTAACAGCTCCATCAAATAACTTTCAGATTTGAAAAAGAAAAAAGAAGAGAGAGTGAGACAGAGAAGAAATGAAGTAGAATTTCACATCAGTACTGCCTATATGCTTTTTGTTGTAGTGTCTATATGTAATATGATATTTGACATGGCAAGGAATTACACAAAGTTGGTCCTATAAATGTGAGCTAGTGGGAAGTTAGACATGATACAAAATTAAATTACAGCATTATTTGCACAAAGTGGCAGCTCTCATTCTCTACCCCAAATAAGACTAAACCCTAAACTTTGTGGTCTTTCTCTAACTCTCTGCGTGTCGTGGGTGGATGGGTGGGAACTTGGGAAGGAATAGTTTCTATTGTTATAATTAATGGCATATATTGAGTAAAGAAAGAAAAAGTGTCTCACTGCTCTCAGCTGTTGGACAGACTTGTAAAGCAACTTTTTGGGCACACATATGACTATGGCATAGTAATCTGCTGCTACTCTCCCATCACGTTTGCAAAAAATAGGACTTATAGTTGGCCCCTGCATATATAAACATGAAAAGCATTTAAGGCAGCTCTTGGAACTGAGAAGAACTCAACATTTAATCAATAATTCAAAAATATCAAAGTATCTCCAGTGAGTGCTTCCACAATACACGCCATTTAGAATTAACTTGTACTAGGATAAAACAACATATATGGTTTGGTTTTCACATTTCTTTGAAAGAAAGAGAGATTGATTCACCTGCAAGCCCGATAATGATGTTTGGCTCAGTATTCGCTCCGCCACCTCCTCTTGACTGCTTCCCCTCATGTTTGCAGTAACCTAACATAAATAGCATGAGACAATGAAATTATAGGCAACTACAACCATAACATAAAAAATAAATTATGCACACCGTGAACTGTCCAATTGCCCTCAAATGTGCCTCCAATCTTTCAAGAATTTCATGTGTGATGTCTAATACACCTTTCCGTTGGGTCAAGGAATTCCTGCTAGCAACAAGGACAGCCTGAAGACAACAAAGATAAAGTAGAGAGACTTTCAAATTAATACTTGAAGACCCTCTTTAAAATAAATTATCAAAGACCGTTTGGCATGCTTGGTTAAGTCCAAAGAGAGTGCACCTGACTTTGCAATATAACTCCACCTTCAATTTCTTTTAAATTGTTCTCTCTCAATGTGGTTCCACGACTCACAAGGTCCACAATAGCTTCAGCTATTCCCATCTTTTTCAACAACAAAGCAAGCAGCTAATATTAATACCATTGGGAACTAGCATATATAATGCAATTTATATTAAATGAGTTGCATTAGGAGGCAGGAACTATGCAATGCCAAATAAATAAGTTAACTTTATAGATACTAAGCAACCAATTTCAAAAAGAAAAATGCTATAAACAATGAGCTAGAAAAAATGAAATGTTCTGAATTTTACCTATTCAAAACAGCATCCAGAACAAAAAGGAAGCTGATTTTTATAGCAAGTCAAGCATGGTAAACTTTTCTAAAAATTTCATTTATTAAAGATTCAGTGATCTGATCACTGAAAAACAAGAAAAAAGAATGTAAACAGAAGTAACAAACGAAGGCACAATTGCCTGCCAAAATTCTAAAATGTCACGACAATAAATCAAAAAGCAAAATTCAGTTAGTTCATTACATTCATAGCCAATGGCAACAATAAATCAAAAAACAGGTAAGAAGCTAATTGAGATCTTGAAAATGAAACACATATATACATGTACCAACTCCTCTATATGTATACATATATATAGTATAACTTCAAAATGATATTGAAACATGCAGGGAATTCGGGTTCAAATTTTTGCTTCACTGGTTTAATTAGAAAATAGGTCAAATTTTTACCCAACCCCCCCTCTCCAAAAACAAAAAAAAAAAATCATAAGAAGAAGAAAGAGGGAATTTTTACATAGTTATGTTGTAAACTTCAATTATTTGACATGCTTCTACCTAGGTGAATGTCCAACCACAAGTGTCACATACATATCTCATACCCTTACATTAGTGTCTAGTTTCCAGAAAAAGGGTACTACACACATATGAAGAGTCAATTAACATAGCTTGACTGCATCAAATCAAGGGTGCAGATATGTGAAACTGGAGATAAATATAAACACCCCACAACCAAAAATAACCACTAACAAGATAGAAGAAATATTTGACAAATAAGTATAGTATTTGTGAACATGTGAGACATTAATGGCCAAGCCTTCATGTACTGTCCACTCTCCCTGGCAAGCATCACGTGCAATACTCACGAGAGATAGCATAACTTGACAAAAATAATAAAACTATAGAAAAAAATAACTCTTACCGCAGGAGCTGCCTCTAATGCTCCATCAGCAGTTGAAAAAGTAACATGCTTCACTCCATTTTCCTTCATAAATTTAGGACCCAGCTGTGCACAAGAATGGACTACAAACTTAATCCCAACCAAACTTCTTAATTGAAACTTATAAATAAAAATTATTTAGAAAGAAATAATACAACAGAAAAATGATAGGACAAAGTGAAATGCAACATACATAAGTGAAACCAGTGGCAACTCTCAGAGGTTTCTCGGGTGTCCATTGACGCATTTGCGCTAGCTCCTTCATTGAGTTTACATTCTGATATGTGAAACTGGAGATAATATTAACACCCCACAATCAAAAATAACACTAACAATGATAGAAGAAATTTTGACAAATAAGATATAGTATTTGTGAACATGTGAGACTTTAATGGCCAAGCCTTCATGTACTGTCCACTCTCCCTGGCAAGCATCACGTGCAATACTCACGAAGAGATAGCAATAACTGACAAAAATAATAAAACTATAGAAAAAAATAACTCTTACCGCAGGAGTGCCTCTAAGCTTCCGGTCAGCAGTTGAAAAAGTAACATGCTTCACTCCATTTTCTTTCATAAATTTAGGACCCAGCTGTGCACAAGAATGACTACAAACTTAATCCCAACCAAACTTCTTAATTGAAACTTATAAATAAAAATTATTTAGAAAGAAATTAATACAACAGAAAAATGATAGGACAAAGTGAAATGCAACATACATATAGTGAAAAACAGTGGCAACTCTCAGAGGTTTCTCGGGTGTCCATTGACGCATTTGCGCTAGCTCCTTCATTGAGTTTACGATTCTAAAAAATCCATATTTGGGGTATCTGAAAAAGAAAAATGTATGATACCACAACCGTACAAACCACGTGACAATCAGCATTACCACTGTATTGTGTTAAAGGAGACACATGACTTACTGCAAGGATAAACCGGCAGTCTTCAAAACTCAAGTGCTCAATGAACAAGAATTAGATCTTCATTCCCCTATGAAATGAATTCACATGATAATTTTCAATGTTAATTTTTTCCCACAAAATGTCAACTAAATGAAACAAGTGCTACAAGAAAATAGCATGCCAAGATGATGGCAACATTAACAGTAAGATGGTATCTTTTTTTTTTTGATAATCAAATTTATTTAAGAAAAACAATGCATCAAGAGGAGATGCCATCTTTATATGTCCAAGTGTACGAAGCCAAAAGCAAAAGGAATTTTCATATCACTGATAGAGAAGATTACTGAAGCGTATGTTAAATGAACAAAACTTATAAGTCATAGTAGGTGAAACTTTGCTCAACGGTATCAAACATTGAGCATAAATCAACTATTCACTTCTCCACAATTGGTGACTTCTCCTTATGTGAATAAAAAACTCATTTGCACAATCATACCTGCCCATTTCACTAACTGTATCAAGACCCACAATACCAAGGTCTAGATCCCCTGATACTATATTTCTCGTACAATGTCTTTGGCCACTGAAAACCAAACTTCCAGGTTGAGAGAGTGCAACAAACCATTAAAAAAGATCATGAGCTACATAAGACAAAACTTAAGCATAACTGTATACATAAAATGTAGAGCATGAAGAGGTCAAAAACAATGCCATAAACTAAGTGTGAGAAAACAAGATTTTTGTGTTAGAGAAAAAATACACTACCCATATTATATGTACCAATATTTCAATAGTGTCTAACACATGGTTTATTGATCAATTCACTTGAACAATGATGGAATACAAGAGAGAGAAAATGTATTCACTCACACACTCATAGTTTTTCAGTGGAAGATGGGAAGGATGACAACAAATGCTGAAAATGGACAAAGTACCATCTAGAAGAAAGCTTACACAGCATAACATTGTGAATACATGCCAATGTATAAATAGTATTTATTAGCAAGATGCATTGGCTTGCAGAGTTCACATCTGCTAAACTCGCAGATGAGATTGAAAATTTGCCTCTGTAGCCCATATTAACAGACAAGTAATCTCTTTGTATAACACATTCTTAAATAACATAAAATTATTTAGGGCAATTACAAGCAGAATAAACAAAACCAATAACCTTCTCCAAATAGCTAATATACTTCTTTGGAAATGAAATATGATCAATCATCAACTTGAATTTTAGTAAAGATGGGTTGGGTCTAGGTTTCTTGACCCAATATACATTTTCAAAAGGGCTCAAAACCCACCCAACTCTTTTGTTTATGTGACTTCTTATGCTATGTCACTCTACTGAAAAATGCATTTTTAACCCTTAAGGACACAATAACTATTGTTGCTATTGAACGAATTGCAGTTGTTGCCATTTTGTTAGTTCAAGTATTGTAGCTACAGCTAGTTAGAGTTTGCACCCAAAATGTGTGCCAAAACAGTACAGGAATATAGTAGCTAATAATATACATACAAACATAACTCTCATTAAAATTAACAAAATATCACTTTGGACTTAGTCATCATATTTAAAACTCTCCCCCAACAATTCCCATACGCAATGGTTCAAGAAATCCTGCTCATTACTGCTTTACAATAAATAGTAAATTATGTACGAGATTTATGAAAATGTACTAAAGATAAAAGAACGAACCGCAGGAGTTTTGAAACTTTCAAAAAGATTAAGTCTCCTATCCGCACCATTCAGATTAGAGCCTAAACTATTATACCTCTAAACCAGATGATCCATACCCAAAATTTAATAAATCAGATCCTAAAAAATAACAAAATCATTCCAAAATCAGTCCAAATTCAGATCTATACCAGTCCCGAAAATCAGTTGCCAAAATCAGTCCAAAAAATATAGATATACAGTCGACAAATTCACCAAATATCAGTCTGAAAATCACTATATCAGTCCGAAAATCAGATTGAATGACAAAGAAAGAAAAAGGAAGATGAGAGAGTATGTGAGGGAAAATCAGTCTATTGATTGTGTTGTGTTCGTCGCAATGCCCGCACAAGAGAATGAAATTGATGATAAAGAAGACAAGAGAGGAAGATAGACAGTGTGAGAGAGAGAGTGAGACGAGAGAGGAGAGGAGAGGAGAGAGACGAGAAGAGGAGAGAGAAGACATACCTGTTTCTCTTCTGTGCCGCTCCAGGTTGTGGATGAGAAGCGAAGTAAGTACACATTTTAGGTCAATCTTGTTTATTTCGGTCTTAAAAAAAAAAAAAAAAAAAAAGAAAGACAAAAATTCAAAACACGTTCGTTTTTTGACAAGAAATTTATGGCGACGAACAATATTATAGTTGCCATAAATATCATCTTCTTCAGCGACTATTTTAATTCGTCGCCAGAAAATACTAAATTGCGACAAACATTTTCGTCGGCAAATATTACATTTCGTCGCAAAATGTTTTTAGCGCTCCCGCGCAGAAATTAAATTGGCGCTAAACCATTTTTGGCCGACGGAATTAAGATATTTGTTGCTAATAGTGTATTTTTTGGCGACCAACACATGGAATTGTCGCAAAAAACAGTTGCAATATGGCAAACAAAAATTCAATTGTGGTTGCTAAAAAAAACGTCGCCAAAATGCTTTATTTTGTGAGTAGCCCTTTTTGCTTGATAAATGATTTTGTGTTTGTTTTATACTTTGGGGTTTGTATAACTATAAAATTTGGCTGTTTGAACTTATGTTGATGTTTGTGCGATAAGTACGAACGTTGCTTATGATACAAAGTTTGCTCTCTCCATGTACGCACAGCTCGATGGTAACTTATATATATGTGTATTATACTCTGCTAAGCCCCGTACCTTTATTTTAAATGGATTTTGTTTAGAGGCGTGGGTAACCTATGAACTGGCCGGTCATGACACTAACTATAGGGCTGTTTGAGTCGTGAACACATGTTCAGGCCCTTATACTCCTCGTCGTAACTCCGTTTCGTCTCATCTTTTGTGCCGTTGGATTCAACTCATGGTTAATTTTTAATTCTTATTCCTCATACGCCTTATTGCACCTCTATTTGCATACTATCGGGAGATGAAAATTGTCTAAAATAAGAATTTTTTTCTCTTTGTTTTTTTTTTTTTCCTTACTGCTATCACGACAATATTCTTCGTAGCGGAAGCAATGGATGATGCTTGATTGGAACCAAGGGTGCCTTGATGCCTTGACATGTCACCGACATTGTGTGGTTTTTTATTTTATGGATAGTGTATACCTCACCACTCGACACACCGTCTCCATACACCATTTCCGCATCTTACAGATAATAATATAAAGCAGCAGCATCAGCAAGCTAGGAGGAGGAGCCGTGGAGGACGAAGGGAGGTGGAGGGAAAAAAAAAGAAGGAAAAAATTTATTTTTAGCTAACTTTCGGAGCTCTGACGGCATACAAAAAGAGGTGGAAACAAAGCATATAGAGCTAAAATGAAGCTAGGCATTGAGTGAATCTAACGACGGGCAAAATGAGGCAAAATGGAGTTCATGAACGGGGCATAGAAAGGTTGGAACGGTGGTTTGAATTAAAAATTTGCCCGAAGAGAGAAAAAAAAAAATTTGCCAAGCTTTCGGAAGCTTTCGATGGACGCAAAAAAAATGAATAAAGCATATGAGGGATATAATGAAAATTAGTCGGGGGTGAATCCAACGATAACAAAAAGAGGGGAAACAGAGTTACGACGAAGGAAATGACAAGTTTGAACATTGATTTGGAATATGAAAGAATGAGAAGATAAAGTGAGAGGAAATTGAACGGAGGGTTCACATTGAAACACCGATGAACTTCAGAGTTTGATTGTCGAATTGAAACTTTGAAATTTAAATTGAAAAAAACACACAAACCTTGGACTTTTTTTTAGTTTTATATTAACCCAAAATTTAATACACAGAATTAAATAATATACAAGTATTACATTACATGCATGAAGTTGATGAGCTTCACATCTAAGAGATACTAGCCAAAGTGAAATATTCTTTAAAAGGTCTATCGTGTGCCTTATACATTTTGATGTATGTTTTTTTGTACATTTGCTGTGTGCTTGGTAGGGTTTCTTCTTTCTATAAACTACAAGAAGCTAGTTGAGGAATGATGGAATGAAAAAAATCCAAAGCAATATAAAGACTCCATTTGTTTGGACACAGAGAAATATTTATGGTCAATGAAAAAAATGTTTCTTTACATATAGGTTTTTCACTTTTTAAAAGTAAGAAAAAACTTATGGGAGTAGCCTTATCATTATTCACGATACTTACCACCACCACTATCACTTTCAGCCACCAACTCTTCCATGCCACCACCCCTGCCGCTACTACAACTCCCACTACCACTATAACCAATAGATTACTAATACATTATTTTTAAGGAAACTAACTAAACATAAGAAAATATTTCTAGGAAAATACAATTTATGGAAAGTTTTTTCTTAGAAATATATTTCTTGTCAAAACAAATGGAGATAAGAAGTGAGCATAATGCAATAAAAAGGGTAGGGGAAAATTACCAATAAGTTTATTTTTTAGACTTCCCATTTAAGTTCCTATTGATGAAATTTGTCTCTATTTTTATGAATAAATTATATGATGAATTAATCAGTCTCTTGTTTGTATTGTGATAAATTTTGTCAGTTAGGACCTGTAGATAATAGTTAGTTAATAGGACTGATGGTAAGTGGCTCTAAAAGTAACGCTAGGAAATTTGGACAGTTGAATTAAAGTGGTCACACTAAGTTGGGGTATCTTTGCAAGCATAAACAGAATATTTGATCCTAATATTGGAATGTTTCAGGGTAAGTAGGACCATAACATTGACAACTGGTCTCAACTTGGCTGCAATTTGATCTCAGTTTTCCAAGCCACCGAGTACACTGTAAATTTTTTATATGAAACTCTCTATACTGGGTTTGGGTAAGGAATTTGAGTAGGGATGTGGAGAGAAATGAAAAAGATAGGTGAAATGTGAATAAACATACCTATAGTTCAACCTAGTTTCACATTACATTTTCCTTTTCCTTTCCAAATCCCCAACCAAACACAGTAGTTTTGGATATAAAAAATTGAACAAAATTATCTAGGGTCTATGGTATTGCCAGTAGGTGGGGTTGTCATTTCCGAGAACAAAACTTAAAATCACATATCAAACTGCAATAAAATCTTTTACCATTAATTTGAACCTTCTGTGTTGCTCGGGCACTTTCTTGATCACTCTTACGGTTATAGACTCTTCATGTGCCTCATGTTTTAAAAGCAGCCAAAAATGGCAGGAGATAAATTATTTCCACAAAAAACTAGTGATTGAACCCTTACTTTAAGTGTTGTTTACTTAAATGTTTTGGTAGTAATTAGAATGGGACTATTTCTTGATTTCCATGAAATGGCCAAGTGAGCATTCTCCTAATTGGTGGATGTTATTTCATTTTATCAAATAAAAACTGGAAATGTATATTCTAATGGAATTATGCATTCCAGTCAGTTATCATTCCAAACAAACCAAAGCACAGCTTAGCCTAAGGAATCATATTATCATTTACAAATGGATTTGCTTAGGATTACATTGGATCGTCCTGTAAAGTAAACGTCAATTACACGCACGCAATCATTTGCCATTCGTATATCAGTTAAGTTTGAAAGATAATATAGGAATCAAACTCAAGACATCCAATTACAAATCGTCCCTTTAACTGTGGGCTACTCGTGCTCTGTTCATGCAAAGAGGGCTGTGCTTGAGCGATCTGCATGTTGTGAATGAGACAAAATAACAATCTTGAGTTGGCCTGAATCCTAATCAAAACCTGATTTGTTTGTGGCCTCAAGAAGGCAACACATACAAATACAAACTTTGCTGAATTGACTAATAAGAAGCTTAAATTCCTTTGTTTGTGGTCCTCAACAGGAATTACTATTCCAAACATCTGTTGATGGTTGCCCCTTTATCTTATGGTTAATGTCTATTAACCATTTCCATTATAATAAACTACTATCATGTATATTCTTATTGTTCCTTTTACTTAACTAACTTCTAGTCCTCTAAAGAGATGCTTTGGCAATAGTTGGAACTGTAGTAGAATAAGAACAATAAGGAATATAAAATGATAGTAGGTTAATTATAAATGAAATGTGGTAATAGACATTGAACCATAATAGGGGGCAACCATCAATCCAGACTGTGATGAGTAATTCCTGTTGAGGGACCCACAAACAAAAGGATTTAAGCTGATTATTAGTCACATTCACAAGTGTTGTAATTGTATGTGTTGCCTTCTGAGGACCACAAAACCAATCAGTTTTGATTAGATTCAAGCCCAATTCAGGATTGTTTTTTTTGTCTCATTCACACATCAGACTGCTCAAGCAAGCCCTCTCTTTGCATAACAGCACATAGACCAGCAGTTAAAGGGACGATTTGTTAAAGTTGGATGTCTTTTGAGATTTGATTCTTACTATTATCTTTCAAACTTAACTGATATACGAGATTGGCAAATGATTGCGTGCAGTGTATTTGACGTTTACTTTACAGGAATGGATCCAATGTAATCCTAGCAAATCCATTTTTTGGTAAAATGATAATATGGATTCCATAGGCTAAGATAAGTGTTTGGTTTGTTGGAAGTGATAACTGGAATGGAATGATGAATTCCATTAAGAATATACTTTCCATGTTTGATTGGGATAAAAAATGAAATACACATCACAATCTAGGAGACGATGCTCTAATGGCCATTCATTGGAAGATCAAAGAAAAGTCTTCTATTACACCCAAAATCTTCAGTAAACCAAACACTTAAAAGTAAGGGTTCATCACTAGTTTTGTGGATTAATTTAGTCTCTGCCATTTTTGGCTGCTTTAAAACATGAGGGCACATGAAGAGTCTATAACAGTAGAGTGATCAAGGAAAGTGCAGAGCAACACAAGGTTCAATTAAGGTAAAAGATTTTATTGCAGTTGGACATATGTGATTTTAAGTTTGTTCTGGAATGAAACCCCCCACACTAACTGCAATTACCATAGACCTAGCTAAATTTTGTTCAATTTTATATCCAAAATACTGTGTTTGAATGTTGGGGGATTGGAAGAAGGAAAAGGGAACAATGATGTTGAAACTAGTGAATATAGTATGTTTTATTCACATTCACTATCTTTTTCCATTCTCTTCCACATCCCTACTCAAATTCCTTTACCCAAACAC